ACACACACACACACACACACACACACACACACACACACACACACACACACACACACACACACACACACACAAACACACACACACACAGGCTTGTATGCCCGGACCCTTGCCCTGAAGGAGAAAAATCCCGACCTGAAGGTCCTACTCGCCGTGGGGGGGTGGCAGATCGGCTCCAAACCTTTCATCCCCATGATCACAAATGAGTCCAACCGAAGAGCCTGGGTCAAAAATGTGGTGCGGTATCTGAGGAGGTAAGTTGTGTGTGCAGTATGCACAGTCGAGCCTACTCTTTTGTTAGTTTTTTTTGTTTTGTTTTTTTAGTAGGGATTTTACGGTGCCCGCAATTGTATAAGGTCATATAAGCGCAAAAAAATCGAACCTACTCTAACTACCACCTGTCCAAGACAATCGTCTGTACAAATGTACAAACCTCTACTTCTAACCACCCCCCACCCCATCCCCACCCCCTTTGCGCTTTTTTAAAATCACAACGACACTGTCTAAGACAAACACTTTCCTTCTCGACAACAAGTGGCCGTTTGGGACACTTTCGTCTGCATTTGAACAACAGGTATTTTACGCCCCTATTGACATTATTAGTCGTTTTTAAGCACAAGAGGGCTATCCCGAAAAATGCAGTTTTGAGAAAATCGAAGGTATAGTTTTTGACCCTCGTTCAGTTTCTTTAAAAAACAAGGATAGTTTCCTCTATAACCAAACATATATACACACCAATAAAACCAAACGTCTCCTATAAGTAGGGCAATGCCCACTTTTGGTGCAGGCAAAGAGTCTACATAACAAGAGGGGCCACTCCTCTCCTTAACTCAATCAAAAAAATGTCCTCAAAATTCGGTGGCGCCCTCTTCGCAAATGCGCACCCTTTGCGAACAGAGTTACCCTACTTGAGTTTAGAAGAACAAAGTGAAACTAGCAAGTTTTCTGATAAATTTCGGAAGAACGCTTTTTTACAGTCGTTACGCTGACAAAAAACCTCCCCCGGAGGAAGGGATGATTGTTTTCTTCGTTTAATTTGACTTTAAAATGAAATGCGAGAGGTCATTAAAATTTTTAAAAACCTAAAACTCTGCACTGAACGAACCGGAACTGCTGATGAACAGCAGTCGATCTGCGCACTCAAGGAGGTGCTATCCCTATTCTTCTTCTGGAAAAACGAAAGAGAGCTTCAAAACAGACTGCAGCGCCATCTGAAGCAAAGAGCGGACTTCCGGCGGACACTTTTTTGGCTGAGTGGCCCATCTTTTTATGTACTATCTTTGGTGTAGGTCAAGATTTCTGGAAACTCCCGAAATCTGGGTTAGCCCGCTTGTCCTTAAAAGCGGCCAATTTATATCATACAGAAGAAGACAGGCTTTGACCCTGCCTGTGGGCTGAGATGGATGCAACGTACCGGCAGAAAGACGTACGGAGATACTTGACAAGGATTCTCGCGCGCCTAAAAGAGAACTAAAATCATGTCTTCTGCGTGTGATTGCAAAACGCCTGACGGCTACACGACAGACTGTCTGTATATCTGTCTCTCTGTCTCTCTTTGACTTTCTGCTATTACAAAGGCAATCCATAATTAATTACAAACAGCCC